ACATTCAAGTCCATTTTTTCTAGTGAAAATGAAAATTATCGGAAAATCCAAATACACCATAAGAAAGCTGAGAAAATTTCCTATCGAAACCATATGTTTAATAATTTTTCCAGCCAAATCACAATGTCATAAGAGCGAGTTACAAGTTACAGCGAGCCGCGCAAGGCTGGAAATCGCGTCGAGCGGCCGAGCGCTAACTAAAACCTCCCGTATTTTCCTTAGTTTTCATCAAAAATACACTCTGAAAACTACCATATCCGATGTAAAAAGACCTCATCTTTCGATTGAAACAATAAAAAACGCAAAAAAAGTGGCGTTTTTCGAGATATTCGAGTTTGAATGTTTACTTGCATTTTCCGAGGTGAAAATGGAAAATTCCGGAAAATCGGACCTCACCATCAGAAAGCTGAGGAAATTTCCTATCAAAATCATTAGTTAGTTATTTTTTTGAGGGGCGTTTTGATACTTTTACAGCGAGTTAGAAATTGAGTGATTCGGCCAAAAAATGCCGTGCGGAAGAGCGCTAGGACACTTCAGGAAATTTGCCCCATATATACGTGTGGAATATTATGTACACATAAACACACATACACAGTCACGCCTATCCATAAAGTTTTTCCGCGTAAGCAGTTGCGCGCCGAGCGACAGGTAGAAGCAGAGTTCGTTTTGTCGGTTTGTACAATGGGATTTTCTCGCCAGGACGCGCGGATCAAATGTGTATACAGGTACTCTCTGAATGAAAGATTAATCACGATCCGAGCTCGAGAGACAGTCGTCGAGCCGGTTAGAATCACGAGTAAGTTTTGCGTGCGTGTATAATACGTAGCTTGGGCATATTTTCGCCGATATTATCGCAAACTCGTATTTGCCTTGTATATCGTATCGATACGATACTTCCGCTTGACGCGAACTTTAACTAATTGTCTCGATCGATCACGCTATATTTACAATTATTAATAATAGCTTATTTATCGAGTTTCCTCGGAAAATGTCTCAATCGATCAGGGTATGAAAGGGACGTTTTCGCTAGAATCAGATTTTTCAGTTATAAAACTATTTATATTGCGTTTATAAATGGTTTTATGAATGGTGTAAATTCGGCGCCTAAAATAATTACTTTTTTTAATTAAAAAAAATTATCAATCTAATCAATTTTATCAATCTTGTTTCTGCCAAATACCAAATGTATTGATTTTCAGATTTCGGCGATGAGGAATCACCTTTAGTCAAATCGTCGGTCATTGCTCTGTTCGCAATGTTTTTGTTTTTTAATTGAATCGAAAAAAAATTAAATCACACCTAGACAAATTACCATAATGATCGATTCATCCTCAACACGAATATAAATCAACAGAATTTTACCGTACACTTGACTAATTTATGCAGGAATATTAAGCGGATTTATAATTCCGAAGTAGCGCGCGATTTACAAAGGTCGCGCGAGGCACTCGTCGACGGCGCGACTTTAACGCATCCTTGAGCAAGTGTCAAAGAAAATGTTAATCGGCCAAGGAATTGCGAGGTTTTTTTTTGCCACTGCGGTTTTTCCGTAATTAATCTTCAAGCGCGCATATTACTCGCCGCCTCTGTGCCGTGAGAAATCTTCTCTCATTTTCTCTCGCCTCGGTTCATGCGTCGGGGTACACACACACACTGCGCGCCAGGAATAAAAAAGCAAATAAGAGGGATGATTGCGCCAAGTTATAATAGGGCAGATGCGCGTTGCGTTGCGTAACGCTACTACTTACTCTCGTGCAGCTCCTCGCGAGCGCGTTAGACGTAATTGTTCATTTCGCGCCGACTCTCGAGGTTTTTAGCGCCGCGCCGACGACGTGCTCGCACCAAGACTACTCTCTTGCTCTCCTCGCAAACAGCCGTTTAGCCTCGGCTGTACATGACATAATGGGCGGTATCGCGAGCGCCATAAGACGAAGAGATAGCTGCTCCATATTTTTCCTTGATTCGGGTAATGTATGAAGGGAATTCCGCCAACGGAACGGCGCTGGAGGATGATCGATTTACCTTGGCGCCCGACATACTATACCCGAGTTATGCGCGCGGGATTTGGCACGGGAGATTAAGTCGCTTCGATTCTCCTGTCTAACTTTTTTAGCTTAGCATTCAATAGTCTATATAACGGTTTAGTGCCGTCGACTTGGAGTTGATGATCTTTATCCGCGAATCCGCGTCGATGCATATACGCGAGCGAGCTGCGATCATGCACAGCATATTCACCGCGAAGCTAAAATATTTCAACTACTTTTTCTTTTTTTTTCGACTTAATTCCTCGATTCTAACGCGATTCGCAGCAAAAATAAGGAGATACGAGAGAGCGTCGAGAGTTATGCACACATTATACGGTAAAAAATACCCCGGAAGAAATTACGACCTCGAGCTTTGTACGCGAAAAAGGTTGTGTGCGCTGCTGCTGCCTAGCTCGCGGTGAAATAAAAGGGCGCGCCCGACTACTGCTCGCTCGTACCCAGGCGCAGCGGAGCTTCTTTTTTACGGTGTTTTTTCTTTCGACGTAACGCACAAGTTGTTCGCAGACGATCGTCCGCTTTTTTTTGCATATAAACTGCAGCCGCGCCAATTTAGGTCGTAAAAAAGTACAATTAATTCGGGAAATCAAAATCGCGACGAAAAAATAACTCTGGCTCTTCTCGATTCGCGCACGGACGATTAAATTTTTCTATATTTAACGGCCCTCCAGCTTTAAAATCGATCCAAGTCAGTCGATAGGTAATATGGATCATCTCGTTGGGCTTGTCACTCGGGCGACGGTGCATCGCGCGCGGACTCGAGACCGCAGGCGTGCAGCTAACTTCTCGGCTTGTGTCGCAGTTGCTGCAGGTAGAACGTCCCGATCATCGTGGACAAATACTCGAGAGCGCCGCACGGCAAATTCTCGTGTTTATGCGTTTATTGCTTCCTCGAAACTGTTTCGATTTCACGACTGACTCACTTCGGGAGCTGCGAATTCAATTTCGAAAATGTAACTCTCTGCCGCTATTTGCTGGAACTCGAGTTTTCGTTTAGCTCTGGTATATAGCTGCGCGCACCGCACGATTATTGGCCGACGCGCGAGGCTCGGGGCTATAATGAAATACCATTATATGCAGCCGATATGTTTAGACTGAAAGCAGAATAGTTGTAGATTCTCGCAGCTGCATAATAATTCCACGTAGGCTATTTTGCCGCTTGCGAAGGCAAATATGAACCCTATCAAACTTTGCGACATCTTACGCGGATGCGCGAACTTCGGAGCCAATGTACGGAGCCGAATGCTATCTCGCGCTTGCCACTTCAACGGCGCGATACGCGCTCGTGCATTTCTTATCGCAATAGTTCATGATTTGTTGCTCGCTTGCGTTGAAATTACCGTATTTTCGAAAGTATTCGTGTAATTTTTAATTAAAAAAGTACATACGTGTCTTTATTATTCATCGCTCCTTTCACTCTCATCGATACTTTCATATCTCGCAGGAGTATGCAAAGGCTTCCGCGTCGATACACGTGCACGCATAAACTTATTTGTTTATTCCGATCCCCGAAGCAAAATACAATAAATTAATACTTTCGCTTGAGTTCTGTTATCTGGTACATTGAATGCGGTACTCTCACCCTCGAGATCATCGTTTTCAAGACGCGTCGAACGGACGATGCAAATTTACCACTTTACACGGCTCCTCGAACGCGACAAATCTCTGTCAAAGTGTAATTCAACTTTTTATCTTCTTTGTTGCACGTGATTTAATTAAGATCCGATTTTATCAATTAACCTTGCCGGCACACGGCTCCGATCCTTATTTTGCAAAACAGCTCGTACACAGAGGCGCCTTTCAAACGCTAATATGGAAAACTCGCTCGTTAATTCTTGTTGCTTTTACGCTTTGTGCTAAAAAGCTACTATACTCCTTTTGCTCGGCACCTCTGTATCCATGGGCCTCTCCGACTTTCATTTACGCGATAAGAATCCTTATTTAATACGTCATTTTCACGCGCGCCGCGGCAACAGCTGATACACACAGCAGCAGCAGCAGTGGCTCGGCTTCCGCGCGAATAATTTCGATCTCTTCCGCCACTGATCAAACGAATTGCGAAACATTTAATATATTTTTTAAAGCACGCAGTATAAAAAACTGCGTGAGGATTCCACTGGGTATTTCATTTGTCTACGAGCAGTAGACAGCAGCAGCGCGCAAGGCAGTAGCACGACACATCAAAGTATATAATAGATGGCATAGAAATGCAAAAGAAGCTCCCATCGTCGTCGACGTTGCTCGCGCTTCCATGTATCTATATACTCGAGAGTGAGAGAGAGGAAAAAAAAGAGAAACGAACGCGCCAAGGAGTGTCGAAGCTCGTCTACGCGCGATACAAAGCTGGAATGCCTGAAGCGTCATACAGATGCTGCGGATATTCACTTTGACGTGTGAGCCTCGCCGGCGTTTCGCATATCTCTCGAGTTCTCTTTTTCACCGTGTACACTCTGCTTCTTCTTCATTTTTTTTCTCCTCATATTATTACGCACCCGTCGATTTCTAACGTGTTTCCTCAAAATTAAGTTCCCCGATAATTGTAGCAATCCCGTATCGATCTCGACTCAAGGTGCTTCCGAAAGTTCGAAATTTAAACGGCTGATCAAACTTTTCTTTATGTATTTTGAATCTATATGTCTGACATACCATGTAATTATTGTCAAACACAAGGGGGATTAAAATCATACTTGTTCAATTCTATTTATTACAAACTACAGTAGCAGGTTGTAAATAAAGGTTGCTCCGACACGCAATCGATGAAATTGGAATAGTTCATTTGTCGATGGAACGCAGAGTTGTTGACTGCAGTTGACATGACAGCTTACCGCGAGGAGTCGTTGATTCGAAGTACTTTTACGTGTACCTTGTAAAAAAATTTTTGTTCAAAATTTTCCGTACAAAAAAACAAACACTTGTCACGTACACAAAAATAACAATTTTTCTCTTTCAATTTTGCAGAATATTTTGGAAAAGTTCAATCCCAGCGCAAGGCAGCTCATCACCGCGGGCAAGGCCTACCTCAAAGCTCTGCACGGTAAGTACTCGCCTAAATTATCCAATGATTATTATTGATGATCGGAGGAGCTGCGCTTTATTTCATCGATACATACGTTGGCAAGCGTTAGTGTTACGTATCGCCTGGACAAATTGCGACGACTGGACACAATATATAATGCATCGACGCGCTGTACGCGTAACATGGCATCAATCAGAACCGCATTCCAACCTATCGGTCGTAATATACGAAGGCGAGGTCCTGCTGTCTTGGAATATACGTCTTGGAACGCAAACGAGCCTTGGGCTCTACCGCAGTACACGTTTCCGATGGGTGTCTATTCTCTTCATCATCGCTTACTACGACCACTACTATACGCAGTCGTATAACGAGCTCGCGTAGAGACACCATGGACGCGTGTAAGGCAATGCGCGTCGGCTAATTTATGGGCGGACGTCTGCGGAGACGCGAAGAGCGTGTACTGCGCTCGACCGCGGCTTTTAAACATCCCCACGCGCGCTCGTGTTCATTCCACGTGGCACGACTAGGCGCATACATCGCTAATCGTTAGTTTTTATCGCTGTATATGTAGCGTTGTATACGTTTCTCCGCTGCGGCCGAGTCAAAATAAAGATCGTTACTTGCCCCATTGATTCTATATCTGCTACATGATTTCTAGCCATTAGTATTTACGAGACGAGCGTACACATTCCTGCTCGGGCAGCAATTGCGGCGGAAAAAGACGACAAACTCGAGACTCGACAAACTGTATACACACACACACAACAGCAGAGCCAAAGGGCATTGGATGCGGGCTGGTATTCACGGTTCGCGCGCGCATTTTCGCCTCGACTCCTTCTCCTCGTGCTATGAGCTGTCTCGCTATACATCCGAGCAAATCCCGCTCTCGTGCCAATCGATACGGGAGGATGGCTGCGCGGCTATATACGTATACGGGGGTGCACGACATACACACACACGACGAGATATCGAGAGGGCGAGCTTGCGATTTACGACGCGTTCGGGGAATCCGATGTGTTGCTGTTGCTGCTGCTGCTGCTGCTGCCATGCGGACGCACCAGCTGTGTACACACGCGTATAAGGCCAACACGGCCGCAAACGTCAACTTTTGTTTTTCCCAATCGAGCTAGACACGGCCGGGCTGCCGTCGAGCTATAGCCGCCTCTAGTGTGCTTCTCTACACCTATCGCACACGCCTATAATCGCGCTTGGCTTGATACGAAGAAAGCCCATTGTCGCGCTCGTATCGGCACAGCTTTCCCGCACTTTCGACGCTTATAATGAGATCCGATTTTTTTTTAAGCTCCCGTGCACCTTTTGTCGTGTCCGCGCCGCGAGAGCTTTTTGTTCGCGTCTACGTACACATGATGCCTTGGTGCGCGTTGCGACCTACCTCGTTGTTTGTTGGTGTTGCGCTATACGTATACTTTTCGAGCAATTGCAGGGTATAAGGTACTTTATAAATCGAAAGTAGGCATATACTTACGACACGCGCGGGCGTACGTAAACAGCTATCAGCGCGCTAATAACCGTAAAGCATCCGACCCTTCTCTAAACACTATGCTATACTGTGTATACGCATTCTACGTTGCAAGCTCGCCCCTCTCATTTTCGCTCTATGTCTCCTGCGCGCCCCTCCGTTCTGTGCTGCCTCTTGTACACGCACCGAGTCCTCTGCTGTATCTGCGCGTATAACCGTTCGCTTCATGCAAGAATTGTCTGCCTGCGTCTGTACACATAAGCGCAGGCCGAAATTCAAATTAACATCCACCCTTCTCATTTATATAAATGTAGCCTCTCTCTCCAACGTGACAACGACGCATTAATTTGATTTGTTGTATATTTTCCTTTTACATTTTTTCTGGCTCCGCTGCAAGAACGATGTTCAAGAAAATGTGTCTTTGATGCAGACGATACAATAGTCATAGACAGTACAGTGGGTTTTTGCGTTTCTCGCATTTCTCTTTTTTTTTTCATTTCAATGGTATTCTGGTTACTTTTTTTATCCTTTTTCTTCGATAAACACTGAACTGCAGAATATGTGTAACTGTAAAGCCAATATTCGCACTTTTATCTTTATCGACGTTTTTTATTTTTTTCGTTGAATTTTATCGTACTATAATGTTTTAAATTATACTGATAAAAGTTGAAATTAAATGAGGAATCAGGTAAATTTGATGGTTAAAATTGAGTTTAAAATTTAATTTCTGTAAAGCTCGGTACGCATGGTTAGCTTTTTTGATTTCAACGCACAGAAATTTATTACTTACATATTTATAGCTAATAAGATCAAATGCAAATAAATCTTTGTGTACATTATACTTTGCTCGTGATGCATTGAACTCAACGAAAAGTGTTTTATTCCACGAAAGAGAGAGAAAATAAAACACTCGTTCGTTTATATGATTTTACCATGAAAAATTATAATATACTCGAAATGCTGCATAAGTTAGCAGTTATTAAATAACTTCTCGTTGGACATTTAAATGAGAAATATCGTAAAGGCAGAATCGTAAAGCAATTTCGAGTACGCAGTTATTTTCCTCGTGCGCGGACATATACACAGCGAATATTAGAGAGTTCGAGACACGCAAAAGCCCCCAGTCGCAGTCCAGCTACACAGCCATATCCTTTAATTGCAGTCCATCCATTATTTGTCTCTGAATAGTAAACACTGTAGGTAGAACAAATATGCCTTTTTGTTCCGCTCATTTTCGCTTCGAAGCAGCAGCAGCACCGAAGGATCGGCAGAATTTATCGCTCTTTAAACTTTTGTACATGCGCGCGACGCTCGGTGTCATTATCGTCAGTTTCGAAGCATAAATAGCCGCGCGCGCGCGCATGGAATCGTCTTCTCTTTCGCGCGCGCACGTAAAAGTTTCGTATCGAAATTTTTCCAAGACTCGATGCTTTTATATAGACGCTCGCGCTCGTCTCTGTCCTTTTTCCGCGCGCAGCTCGTATTTATATATTACGGTATATATACTCGGGACGCGTGCAGATGGTATCGTTACAGATGCTGCCAACGCAATATCGTATAGATATACACGTTATAGACGCAGGGCGCGTATAAGAAACGGCAACTTTTAGCCAAGTCGGTATCGCCTGGAATTAAGTTGTTTTAAGCTTTTTTACGCCGTTAGTATGACTTCTTTCGGAAGTAACGAAGAGGCCGAGCGGAGCGGCTGGTCGCCATTTCTGCCCGTGGAACTTGGCTTATACGACTGCGGGAAAACTTTACGATTCAAGAGGACTTTGCTTACGTATATAACTACCAAGAGGGAGAAGCAGGCGATAGAGAAAGAGAGAGAGAGAGAGCTGCGAGGAAAAATTACGAGTACGCAGATGTATATACATGTATATGCAAGAGCTGCGTGTAATATCGATCATTTTCTCGCCGAGACTCTCGAGACGCGTTCGTTTTCATTATACAAAAGAAAAGAGACGATAATTTTATATCGAAAGAGAAAGTCGTCCCCTCGAGAAGCGCTAAATTCATTTGTCAAGTTTGATGGCCGCCGCCGTTGGCTCGGTGCAGGCTCGCACAGCTCTACGACACCACCGCTTCCTCCTCCTTCTTGGATCGCACTGAACTCCTGCGCCGATGAGTGATTTATGTACAAAAGCCACGTACCGCCTGTTAGATATCGTACCTTACTTTTCTTTTTTATACTTTACCGGCAAAAATTTGTTTATCGATCGCTCGAAGAATTTGGTCTATTCGCCGGCTATCCATATAGGTTCAGTTTCACTGGAAAAATTAGAAAAAAGTTCGGGTAATTCCAACTTTTGGCAAGTTTCATTCGAACATTTATTTAATGAATTTAATTTCATGCACAATGAGGCGGGGGCTAAAAAATATTGCACCAGGCACACAGACTATACATGTATAATTGGTGTGCCAATGAGCAAGAAGTTCAGTCACGGTGTCAGGAGCAGACGTGCGCGAGCTAGGCGAAAAAGGCTCATATATAACAGTGGAGCGAGGAGCTCACTACACGTACATAGTAGTAGGAGTTGTCGCACTCGCTCTGGATAAATTAACGCGCGCTGCCTAGGTGTCTGCAAGGGGATCTCTCTCTCTTCTCCTTTTCCGGAGCCTCTTGCTCACATGCGTTTCTGAATACATATACACTCGCGTGTAAACAAGAGAAGTGTTTATGCTTACATGTAAACTGCAGGCGAGGCCGAGCTCTCAGCATACGAAACTACTAATGAACACGTCTCGTCTCTCTCACTTCTCTCCTTCTCGAGTCTCTCAACTTTTCATCTCAAATTTCGACGCGAAAATTATTTGATTGCAAAAATTATATATAATATATGATCTGCGCGTCTATAGGGGCATGGCACACCGCGCGCAGATGGCCCTGCAAACGAAAGCTGTGCTGCACATGCAAAAAAAAAAATCGAGTACGTGCATATTTAGTCGCGCGTGCATATACATTTAGAGTTGTCGTTCGCGAGTTCGTGTACTTGATAATTCGAGCGTTGCGCGCGCCAGCCGTGCAAACAATTCTGCGTAATCCTCATTAAAAGCGCCATTGAGCTGAATTCACGCGGCTCGACGTTGACGTATATACGCCGTACCCTACGCACCCCCCCGTCGCGCAGCACTATTACAGATTCACGCATACATCCTGCATAGGCGATGATCGTCGAAGTTCCTATGCACCATTAAATGGTGTATTCGCTGGCTATATGGCTCGCATTGCCTGTATATATTATGGCCGATTTTCTGTGAGATCGAATGGCCTAAAATTTTCGTTATCTGAAACGTTGACACACTTCGTTTGTCATGCTAGAAATAATCCTGAATTTTTATGGAGTTTTTAGTCTCTTCTAAAGACTCTGTACGGATATCTAAACGTAGGTACTTCATAGTTTAAATCTTGAAAAAGAATCTCATTTTTCTACTTTTCCAATAGTTTAAAGTGAGTCATGATTCTGCTACGTAGAATAAAAACATTTATTGTTTTTTTCTATACAGATACGAGGCTATTATTTATAAAAAAAAAAGA